AGGTAAATATTAGTTATCTTGATTCTGTTATACTAGAACCACATAATCACATAGATGAAAGGATTAGGTGGTGATAGTTGAAAGAGGTATATTTTGCTTGATTTGGAGTATGTATTCGATAAGAGTGTCAAAATAGGCTTAACTCAAAAGATTTGAAAAATAGGTTAAAATATTTATGGCATACATAGAGTCAGACTAATTTTGACTCGTCCTATTTAGACTATGACCTAAATAAGCTTAGGTCAGACTAGCCCGTTTATAAAATAATAATTATTTTTAAAATAAAATAAAAGTAATATTATTTTATTATAAAGTATATGTACAATAAATTAATTTGATAATATATTTTATTATATATATATATATATATATATATGTGTGTGTGTGTGTGTGTGTTAGGGATGGCAATTAAACCCGTACCCGTGGGGACCGACCCGTCCCCGCCCAGAGTTTGACGGGGAAACCCCGAGTTGACCGGGGCGGGGTCGGAGTCGGGTTTTCCCGCTTTAAAAGTCGGGACGGGGCGGGGATGGGTAATGCAATCCCCACCCCGACCCCGCCCCATCCCCGCCCCGACTTTATATTTAAATTTAAATTTTAAAATATTAATATTTTAAAAGTATTTCATTTTCTTTTTCTATTACATATAAGGTTATTTTTTTATATTTCACCAATTTTTATTTTTCTTCTACCCACTTTTTAATTTTTTTTATCTTTCTCAATCTTTTATATCAATTAATTTATTATATTATTCTCTCCCTTATCTTTCAGTTTTTCACATTTTCTTAGTCTCTCCCATCAATTTGTTTTTTTTTTCAATCTTTTCAACCAATTTGATGAACACAAAGTTAATCTTTTTTCTTTATCTTTTTCTAAATATTTTACATCAATCTTAGTAGTAACTAATATTAGTTTATTTATAATTTATATTTATTATGCCATATTTTTTTATCTTATTATGCTTATTTATCATATATCAAATTTTATCTTAATAAAATAATTGCATTTTAAAGGATTAAAAGAAATTAATAATTTAAACTTTTATTACTTCAAACTAATTAAATAAGAATTAACTTATTAAATATTTTCTTATAAACTATATATTGACAACTTAAAAATGAATTAACTTATATGTATAATTAAATATTTGAATACAGTATTATAATAATAATGTTATAAATATTCAAATATTTGAATACAGTGTTATAATAATAATAATAATAATGTTATAAATATTATATATATATATATAAATAAAAAATAATTAAATATTTCTTTTACATATATATTTTAATATAAATATAATAAATTAAAATGTATATTTAATTAATAATAACTATAAATTATAAATATTTATTTATATATAAAAATACATAGTAAAATTAATTTATTATAAATATAATTATCTTTTTAAAAATAATATAAATTGGGGACGGGCGGGGCGGGAACCCGAAACCCAGCGGGGACGGGGATGGGGACTTAATTCCTAACCCCGCGGGGATCGAGGCGGGACGGGGATGGTTAAAAAAGTCGGGGGCGGGGACGGGGGAGGCAAAACCCACCCCCGCCCGCCCGTTGCCATGCCTAGTGTGTGTGTAATTTAGAAAGAATAATAAACCCTAAATATAAACTTCATTTGTTTTATTCATCTTCTTTCTCTCTATTATTATCGTCACATTTGCTTTCAGAAATCAATCATTTAAGATGACATATTCCTAAATGTCGTGTATTTCTAAAGTATGATGATGTGGACCTTATGTTGGATAATGGATAATAAAGCTAGTTTATTGAAGTAATGGAAATTTGACTCTAAAATTTACCGATATGTATGCATTATTAAGCATGATCTTCCATTTAACTATGTTGAGTATGAGAGAGTTTGGAAGATAAATAAAGTTTTGAATCATGATTTTAAACCAATTACTAGAAACACTTCAATTACATAGGTTTATAATGTGTATTTAGCATAAAAGAAAAAGTTAAAGGATGTACTATTTAATATCTATACTAGAATATGTGTGACTTATGATATATGGACAGTTATAACTTCTGAAGGATAAATGACTATAACAACTCATTTTGTTGATTTTGTGTCATTTTAAGCATTCTAATTGCAGTTTCAAAATCTTCATTTAGCAGTGGTGGTCGTATCTTAAACAAGTATAGAAATTGTTACTTTCAAAAAAATGTACAAGCTCTCATTTATTCTCGTAATTGGTTGCATGGTTATAATCAACCTTCTAGTATACTATTCAATTCATATAGAAATTGTTTACTTCTAGAAAATGTGCAAAACTTTAATTATTTAATGTTATTGATTTACTTTTTGTTAACTATAGATAAAATATCTTATGATATTTTATTTTGTCTAGATAAGTTATGAGTTAATTTTAAATAAACAAATAAATTACATATTAATTTTTTCAAACAAAATAAAAAATATATATAAATAAAAGATTTTTTATTTTTAATTAGGCAAAAAATGACCCGTTAGCTTGTTGGCGTAACATAGGACCAGGTTAGACAAAAAATTTTGGTCTATTTTAAAATAAAAGTCAAGTTGTCATTAATTTTTATTTTTATTTGATTCATAGGGTCAGGTTAGATTGTGCTGGGTCTTTCCTTTTGACAACCTAGTATTTGATAATAAAAGATAAGTTATTGGAATTTACCCTTATTAAAAATGGAGAGGTGCCTAACTTAATCTCATAAAGTCAAATAAGAAATTAACATCTTGAGAGTGTACATAAATGAACATCTTGGGAGCGTAGAACTTAATATTAAAGATAAACCGATGACGAGTGGAGTAATAAGTCAACAAATCTTACTAGAATTAGAAATAGAGAATTATTTCACTTAATCCTACAAAATTGGTTTATAAGGTGAGGTTTACACCTGAATTATATATTATTAGTTGGTCATATATTGGGTCGATGTGAAATCTCCAACAACCCTATCACATAAGAGTGTATGAAATATTTTAAGTACTTTTGTGTTATGCATTTGGAGAAGTTGTAGTATGACTAGTACAAATTTTTAAATTTGAATTTAATATCTAGTGTTAAGATTCCAACATAAAACATATTAGCAATGTGGGGAGTAACCTAATAAGTATTTAAACAATATCACATGATATGAGACAGACGATGTGTAACTTCCAATATTTAGGATTTCAAAAATCATCAAATATACATGTTATTTGGTAGTAGGCCTATATATAGGTCTCATCTAAGAACGAGAGTGTTTCGATATCATATTTATTATAATAACATCATTAGGGTCAATTACCACATCTGAGATATTATCTGCTTTATAACTATATTTGACCTCGACTCTTAAGCGATGAGACTCATGAACATACCAAAACATAACAAATATGTGAATGACTGGAGTTCCAAAATGGATAATACCTCATATGTAGTCATGGACCTTAATTATATGTTATCATGGATATGAGGTTGGGATATGTTGTTCCTAGACGGAACATTGACACCTGTCGTGGGGCTAAAGATAGAGTTTCAATTCACTTAATACATTGCTTAAGATCAAGACCTAGGGTAGTTTATATACACCCTTCTTTCTTAACTCACTAATGCATTTTTTAAGAATAACATGGCAAGTTAGAGTTATAAAGCCAACAATATTTCAAACGTGGTAATGGATCTTAACTATGTTATCATAGTGAACACGAAACCAAGACACACTCGTTCATAGATGAACCATTGACACTCACCGTGAGACTAAAGAAAGAGTCTTACTCTACTCCTATCTACCTCTTTAGTCCTCGATTAGGGGACTATGTTCCAATACGTCCATGAATCCCACATTGATTAGGAACGAAGGTGAAAGATAATTTATATATAGCTTATTCTCTTAACCACCAAAACAATTTTTAAGGACAAAATTATGATGAATTAGAATTTCAAAACAATCAATACCTCAAATCCTCAAATGTGATAATATATTCTAACTATATTACCAGAATGGATATTAGGATCAAGATACTATTCATTTATATATATATATATATATATATATATATATATATATATATATATATATATATATATCTCGTTTGCTGTGACCTTAAAATAGGAAAAAAATTATATAGTTAAAGTTTTGGGTTGTAATATTTAAAAAAATTTAATTATAGTATAATTTACATGTCTTAAAATATTTATTTATTACAAATCCTTTTATATAATATAAATATTTCTTGCATTATACTGTCAATTAATACTAGTGAAAGATTACCGTCTCTACCGTTTAGAAACAGGTGCTTCCTGGGAGAATTCTTTACTGAAATCAGTCAGAAGGAAGAGTCTAACAATTGAAAATTACAAAAATTATAATTTTTAATCAATTTTAGGTATAAATAAAAATGTATTAAAAAAAGGTATATTAGAAAATATTTAAATCTGTGAGTATTTTACTTTAAAATATTTCTTTTAGAGGCATGATATATGGATAACCATTTAAAAAAACAATTCTAAAAACAGCTCAATTTAGTAATATAATAATTATAAAAAGTCTAATAAAAATAAAAATAATTTGAAATTATTATTATAATGTTAAAAACAGTTATAGATTAATAAAAAGATTTAATAAAAATAAAAATAATTTACAATTATTATTATTATAATATTAAAAACAGTTATAGATTCGATGTTTGATAAAACGCAGTTTTCAAAATAGTTTTTTCCTTATTTTACTTGTACTTAATTTTCTTTCAAATTAAGTTCATATTTACAATTTAAAACATAAATTGTTTTTTCAAGCAATTTTAATAAACTTAATTTCAAGAAATCATCTAAATTATTTTAATGTAAGATAAAACATTTATATTAGAGATTTTCTTGCTACCCTCTCTCAGAATTATTTTAGCAAGACATTTACTAGAAGAATCAGGAAACACAACAAATAAATGCAGCACGTTTTTGAATGAAGAAACAGAACAAGAAAAAACAAAGAAACTTCGTATATTAAAAATGAAAATGCATTCATACCTTCTCAGAGAGTGCATCTTGAACAACGATGATGTCGCTGGTGATGGAAGAAATAACCTCTCCAGTGGAAGCCTCGGTGTCAAAAAGACTTATATCTTGATTCAACATTGACCTTAAGTATGCCATCCTCATCTTTGCAGCTTGACGCTCCCCAGTATGCATCCAACAAGCCACCTCTGTGGAATCAATCAACGTTACCAACGCACAGTACGTAGTTCATGAGTTTGACAATGATTCGTAAGAATTATTGTTTAAAACACAACATAAACACAAGTAATAATTAGTTCAAACCTGTCCAAGATGAAAACAATATCACTATGCTTAGATACACAAAATCCAACGCATACTGCAAAATTATAATAAAGCAGCAATGTTAAAATTTAATTATCTAAAATACACAGACAAGGTAAAAACTACATTGCATAAAACTACATGAATTTTAAAGAGCAAGAAGATGAAACAGTACCGAATTATGCATGGGAAGTAGACAATTAATACAAGATGCTGATAACAAAAAACAAAGAGAAACAAAACCTTGGCAACTTCGTGGGAAGCTTCTTTGGGAAAAAGGTAGGCCAAGCCTATGACATTGATAATCTTTCCAAAGAAGACAAAGAAGACAGGCACAGAGGCTCCATGAACACACGCCCCAACAGATCCAACACTCATCAAAACGCAGTCGTAAAAGTCAGCAAAGGAGAAGAGCTTCAGAAGAGGAACCTTTCGTTCCTGCTGGGCCACCTTTTCCTTCTCTCCATCTTCTGACATTCTTGAATCTTGATGATGACTTATTACCACTATAATATAAGCTTCACTTGCAGCAGAAACATGTATGCTATGATGTTGATGATGAGGAGGAGTTGTGGCAGAGTTATGGAAAAGAAGGAATAATGTGTTGAAAACTTGATGAAGAAGAAGGAAAGATGTAGCAGCAAGAACAATAGGGGTGGTGGTGGATGAGTCATAAATTTATAATATAAGGTGAAAATGACGCCACATTATATTCTATTGTACTGAATGAATCCTAATACGATTTCTTGTTTATTATCGTAAATATACACATAATATATAATTATAGAGCTTGTAAATAAAGTATTTTAATATAAACCGTAGCCAAAATATATTAGCCACCTTAATTATATTAATAAAAAACTTTTTAATGATTAACCATTGACATCAATTAATTCACAAGAATTTTTGTATCATTTACTTATTCAAATAAAATTTATTTTTCATCGTTTTGAGAGTAAATTACACAAATACATTTAAAATTTTCTCAAATTATTTTAAAATTTTACATTATTTTCTCCTCTTCTCGCATCGAGTACATAACATAAAACCCTCCATTACTTTGAATCAGATATGGTAGAATCATAACAATTTATCTATTGTGCCTTGCTCCTTATCGTATTTTCATGTAGGTGGTCCAATAAGGACACGTCCTTTTGTGAAGCATCATTTCTTCCATAAATATTTTATTGTAATTATCTGTCAGGTTTTCAACTTTCTGGAACTCTTCTTTAAGTACATATATCTTAGTCGTTGATTTGAATAATCTTATCTTTTGGGAGTCATCATCTTTTAGAATAATCCTATTTAGAAAATAAGAACTGAGTGACCTTTGTGATAAACTGGTAAAATTGGAGTCCACCAGTTTATAATGATAGTTGTTGACTTTGCAAAGATGTCTAGTTAGCTGAGTTTTGTAGCTAATCATTTAAAGGATATGTTTCAAAATTTTCCTAAATGTAAACTTTATTCTTTGACCATAGTTTCCCTGTAGGATTTTGAAAATATGGACGGCGGATGATGAAAATTGAAGTGAGAGCTTTGAGAGAGTCTTCGGTCCTTCCTCTTTGTTTTTGAAAATCATTCCAATAGTGTCCAGAAATAAAACTTTTCCTTATAATGATTCGTCAAAATTTTAAAAGTTTTTTGTGTTTTTAATGCAATGAGGATGGAGTATTGGACAGTTTACACCATATTGCACAAATTGTTGGTTTATAAAGATACCATCCAGGTTCATAGAATATTTCAAAAATTCCTCCAAAAGGGATATCAAGATAAAAAATGGTTGTTGGAGAGGTATTGTATTTCAGGGTTTCATGGAGAAAATTAAAGTAATGAAATTTCGCATAATGAAGGATTTTGGCTAGTGAGGTTAGATTCAGACCAGAGGATATACTCTAACAGTTTTGACTTTGTTGGATAAGAGTTTGACCATAAAGATGAGAGGAAAATTATGGGTATCAAAAATTAATTGAATAATTTTTTTGGGTCTAAACAGAAAATCAAGTATTGTGTTTTGACTTCCTTTGATATGTTTAACAGAAAAATCATACTTTGAAAACTAGTTTATTAGTCGAAGGATCTGAGGATTTAGAGGCATCCTATTTTTGAATTCAAGGATTCTTGGAAAAGAAGAGTTATCCATCTGTACTTCAAAATGATGTCCTCTGAGATGGAAGTCAAACTTTTTTATTTCATATTTTACAGCTAGGGCTTCCTTGAAGATAATGTAGTAGTGTTTTTCTGCATCTTTGAACTGTCCACTAGCATGACCACAGTAATACATTTTTCCATTTTCTTCTTCGATGAGAACTACTCCCCAAAAATCATCATTTGCATCAGTCTGAAGTATTCTTTTTCTATTCCTTGAGACTTTTAGAGCTGGAAGAGTTTGGACTATTTTCTTCAGTTCTTTGATTGCTCAAGTCTGCTCTAGTCCCCAAGAAGGAGGATTTTTCTTTAGCAACTTAGACAAGGGACTAATATACTTGGCAATATTAGGAATGAATCTCTTATGTAGTTAATGATTACAAGAAATTGTTGAATTTACTTTATGGTTAAATTTTCATCGGAAAAATTGAGAAGCTCTTTAGCAATGTGGGATTTAGGTTGATATGAGCCTTGACAGAAATGCATTCCTAAGAAATCAATTTCTCTTTGGGTCAAGTGAATTTTCTTCTCAAATAGCATAATCTCGTATTTATGGGATATTTCAAAGAATTAACCCAATAACTTGTTATGAGAGTCCATGTCTTGAGATAACAGTAGAATATCATCTATGTAAATGATAGCTCTATCTAATATGGGCTCAAAAAATTTTGTCATGGCCTTCTGGAATAGTGAGGGGGCTACTTTAAGTCCAAAAGACATTACTTTCCACTGATATTGAGTATTGGGTATGCAAAAAGCAGTTATGTATCTATCAGAAGGATCAATGTCTAGTTGTCAAAACCTAGATTTGAGATCAAACTTAGAGAAAATATAGGCTTCTTTTATCAGAGTGGGTAAGGAAGATGCTTTAGGAATTAGAAACTTATCATCCTTAAGAAAACAATTAAGAGGTTTATAATCAATGACTAACATTTTTTTTTAGCATTTCCACATAGAAGGTTTGACAGACCCAATTGGATTGGGTTGGTTCTATCAGACCTTGTCTCAAGAGTTTTTAACATTCTTGACGGGCCAATTGTAAATCTGATGGAAACATTCCAGGATGTGTAACTTTTGTAGGATTAATATCTTCATTGAGTTTGAAGGGTACTTGGACGAAGAATTCATATTCTTCCACAAAGGATTTGGATGAGAAAAATCTTCATGAGTGACTAATTTGACTTTTATTTCTTCTAAGTTTGAAGGAGCCTCAGAGAGGGAGAAGAGCATGGGTACTTTCGTGAAAGATTTGAATTATCTTCTGAATTTTATCCCAGTGGGATGTATCTAGAGCTTATGAGTCATGGAATAAATATTTATTCTTACCAATATATCTTTGTTTGACAGTTTACTTCAAATTACTTTTGACTAGACTATGCACTCTGGGAAGTATTTGATCCCGATTAGGGATTTTGTGATAAGATCAGTCTTGAAAATTTTTCATCAGCTGCAACAAAATAAGAGACTTTCATTTTTCAAAATTCCTTTGGAAGTATCTCTGGATCCATCATAGATTTTTGGTTTCCTGTTTCAAGATAAGCTATGGCTTTAATGACTTTCTCATACTTAGAAAAAAGAAGTTGGACTTATAGGCATGGTTGTGAAGGAGAAACATTAATGGGATTGATATCTTGGAAAGAAAAGACTGGAATAGTATTTGTTTCTCATTCTATGTCTAAATAATCAAATTCTACTTCATCATAGGATATAGTGAGGACAAAAATTGTTTCTTCATCTGCAAAGCTTTGTTCTGAATATATAAACTCTATATCTTCATTATCTCCAAGATTGAGAGTGGAAATGAGTTTTATGGCTTTTTTAGCTTTATGGGGACAATTTTTTGAGAAATAACATTTCTTCTTGTAGATAAAATATCTTTGATCTCGAGATTTTCATCTGATTTTCTTCTTCTTGAAGAATTTGATATTCTTCTTTTTCTTGCGTACAGGTTGTTTCTCCTGCCTTTTCTTTTTGCAGTTTCCTAAATAGGGTTTCTTACACTTGATTTCAAGATAGGGCTTCTGGTAGGGATATCGTCAATAGTAAATCAAGGTCTTCCATTAGGCTTTGAAGAGGAATTTGTTCTTATTGGATCAGAGTTAACTTATTCATCAAGAGAATCATAAATAGGTTCATGTCTGACTTCTGATTTGGAGGTGTTGGTCATCAGAAATTGGGTTAAATCTGCATAATTGGGAGCTTCTATCTCTGATTCTTCAGAGTAATACTCTTCAACAATTGTAGGGGTATTCTTAGGAGTTGGATAAGGACAAGATTCTATAGTTATTTGAGAATATGGATCTTGAGAATATTGGAAAACAGGATCAAATAGGTCTTGATGAGTTTGTCTTTTTGGTGAGAATTGAACTTCATGAGAAGATTCTTGAGAAGGTGGGTTAAATTTCTTTTCTTTGTCTTTGTATGAATTTGGTGTTCCTGGTTTGGGCCATGGTCTATAAGAAGTGGCTATAGGTAAAGACCAGGAAGACTGTGTTGATGGTTGGAAGAATGAAGACAGGTTCTGGAAAGAGGAGTATGTAGGAGCTGAAGTAAATAATGATGGATAAGGATCTTTCTCTGTCTTTTGTTGTTTGACTTTTGCCTCTATGTAATTGTCCATCTCTTAGATTTGAGTCTTAAGCCTTCTGATCTCCTTTTCTTTGGAGTGAGATAATTCTCCAAAGATGGTGTTCTTCCAATCTTCTTCTAACCTTGAAAGTTCCGAGAAAAGTTATTTATAATACTTTCTCAAAGTTGAATTGAGATGCTGGAGTTTTTCATCAATTTCCTTAAGATGTGTTGAGATCTTATCCAACTTCTGATCAATTCTTTGCAAGATGGAGTTTTAAGCTCTGACATTTTCTGTTTGCCAGTTTAATACTTCCTCAGCTTGGCTTAGTGGTTTTGTTTTCCCATCTGGTCCAACTTCTTGACACATGACATGTTGACATAGGATCAATGTTCCTTTCAAGAGGAGGAAATTCCTCTTTATAGGATGTTGGATTGATCATCATGCATGAAATAGGAGGAGCAACAAGAGGTGTCATGACAAAGGTTTTGCACTTTTCTTGTCTTGGATGAAGAAGATATTCTTCTTCAAGGATCTCAACATATCGTTCATATTTCTATAGAGGGTTTGATTTCTCTTGGCTATGAAGTCCAATCCAAGGACCTCTTCCAGGTTCAGACCTTCTGTTGGGAGAGAAAGGAGGCTTACAAGATCTTCCTCCAAAATCACCATCCTCATCTGAGTTATCATCATCTTCATCACTGGTATCTCTAGTGTGATCACAACAATCACAGTTAAAATCACACATAGGCTGTCTGGT